CCAGCACGAAATGTGCTACACACGCTGCTGACTGCCGACAACAGTTTACCAAACTGCTGTGCAACATTATAATCAGCAAGATCACATTCAGGCACAAAGACATTTAAAAACACATAAAACTATAAAACAGTACTTAAACAATTTACAAAGCTTTTTATTAATAACAATTTTACAAAATAGCAGAAACATATTTTCCTTACCTAATCATTATCAATAAAGTATTCAACAAATACACAGCCATGTGACAGCAGCAAAGTAAACCGAGGAAAATAGGTTTCACTCATACAAATTAACTGAAGAAATGTACAAATATCTCAGCCCCGCTATCATATAGCCCGACGGGCGGGGCTGAGATCGATTTTGGTCGCCCGACCGGAGATATCGCTAGCGTCGGGCTAGCGATTTTGAGAGCCCTGGTGATTCATCACATTTGTGTTTGAGTTCATCATTCGATTTGTAAACACAAAAGCTTAAAAAGTTTTGAAGAAATTCAGATAAAACTCAAGGGTCATAATAATCTATTACAATTTGGCTTACATCCACCAAGATCAACTGAACAAAAAGTTAAGTTATGATTCTTACAAGTGTGTATTTTGAACATTGAAAAAGTACCATATAAAGGTTAAAAATCTTGTCACATTTGACCTCTGACCTCTCCTTCAAGGTCAATAGACTGATCTGAAGTTTCGAGTGATAATACTGCTATAAAGAGCAATTTAAAATGCCATTCTCAATGCCACTGTTTGCACTGATAACATACAGCCATATAAGAAATCATATATGGGTATTCTAAATATCATGCAACTTTTTCTTAAGGTCAAATGTTCATAAAGGTCTGTTATCTTTACAACTATGCTACAACCTTAGCTAAGCAAAATAGTGGGAATGTGCCTAAAAGTGTCACGAGTTTGAGTGAATTCTATACACTATGAACTTGGTTGAGAAAATTAACACAACATAAGTGTTTACTCCTTTTCTCTCTGCAGAAAACTCACTTGAAATCCTCGTTTTTTATGAATTCGACAATGATGTCTTTTTCAGGTTGAATCTGCAACATCTTCAGCGTGAGACAAAGGAAAGGAGTGGGTTTGATATTTCCACCAAAAACTCCACCAACATACTTAAGTTCCATGGCTTTGTCGACAACCAGCTCAGCTGAGGATGAAACAACATACAAAAGCATTGTTAACAAAAAACTATAAATACAAATTGCATTGTATACAATTGTTGCCTGCAAATGCACCTGCATACATGTTTCCAATTAGACAATGAACAGAGGTATACAGACTTGTACAGATTAGAAGTTTACAGTTCTACTACTATTTTACTACCAGTACCATTTCAGAACTGGGGAGTGATGTCCCTCACATATTAGCATATTAGCACTCTGAGTCAATTACTGTGGTATCCAACTATCAGAGAAGGAGATGAAGAAAGATGAAGAAAGGAATGCCTAAGTAGTACAACAAGCTGTGTCCTGGATTGTTGATTGCCTGACAGAAAGACCACAATATGTGCGTTTTAACATTGTGTGTTTGACAAGATCATCAGCACAACTGAGGCACCAGAAGGGACCGTCCTCATGTGATGCAAGCAGAAACATCTGCAGCTCAACGGGACAAAGACCAAGGAATTGACTGTGGACTTTAGGAGGACCTGGAAACCAATGACTCCCACTGACTTGGTAAAAAACACTGTACAGGAAGGGCCAGAACAGTCTCTAATTTCTGAGGTAGATGAGGTCTTTTAACATTTATTCCTTTTGCTGGAATGCACCAAATTGGGAGTGACATCACTTTTTCAATATTAATGCAATTTCATAAACACAAAATTTTACACCATTTCAATTGCAATCTGAAAAATGTTACGAAAGCCTTTAAATAAATATGGCCAAGAACAGTCCATGTCTCCCTTTAGACCCCCGTTTGCTGCAGGTAAGGCTGTAAAGGCTGCCATCAGCCTTTAGCAAGCTGTGTAATATAAACATGGTATGAAACCAAGTTAACAGCATGTTTTAATACTACTCTTGGAGGCTTACTGCAGATTTTTCTCTGTGTAAAACAAATTTTGGTGTTTGTTGATCAGGCGCTTTGATGAAGGGCTCCTGCCACCTTTTTCCCAGTATAGGTTTTATTGGTGGTTACAGGAACAACTGCTGTTTTTGGGCTCTAGAAACACGTTTTCTTTCCTCAGCTTCTCTGTAACAGCTAAGCCTATTTGCTCTTCCCGGTGCATGTGTAAGTGTAAACAGAGTTCAGCTCCATGTTAAACTATGCCAGTGTTATCATCACTGCTGCTATTGTGTTATCAGTGCTTCTGTATAAAACTGGGAGCCACGTGGACTTAATGTTGTCAAACTAAATATGTTTGCAGGTCTGTTTTTAGTCACAAATGTGGGTGAAACATTTGCATTTACATCGTTTAACACAACGGCATGTTACAGAACCATGTGTTAAATTTGTTTATTTTTTCTATAGCCTTTCTTCAGTAACAAACTGTTTCAACTTCTGCAATCAGGCAGGTTTCGCACTATCAGGACAAAAACAGAGATACTCAAGAGGAGCTTCTATCCTCAGACCATCCAAGGCTTAAATCAGAACATGCCCCCACTCCCCTCATAGCATCACCATAAGGGTCTAGAACAGGACCTTATTTTATATTCTTGTCATATTTCATATCGTATCTGATTTATTATTACGGCACACGCTGCTACACTGATCATGCTGCTTACCTACTGCTTATATTACTCTGGTCACTGTTGTACTCCAGTCACTGTTTACATTACACTAAATAACTATAGTCACTCAGTTCAATTACTGTGTTTACGTTACTTAATTTTGTTTATTCTACTTCCATTGCACGGTCAGACATTGCTGTGCTAATATGGTACAAACACTTTAATATTCCATTTGCAAAATGTACATATTCAGTTTTTTAATTTAAAATTTCCGATTTCTAATTTAAAGTTACTTATTGTTTATAATATTTTGCACAGTCAAGGAGCAGTTCAGGACACATCTTAATGTGTGTTGTACTTGTATGACTGTGTCTTGAATTTTTAGCCTAAAATAAAATAATTTCTGTTGCCTAAAAATATCTCTCTATCTATCTCCCCAAGAATATAACTGAGCCCGCTTAATGTCGATAGTAACCCGCTTGCTAAAATGAGCCCTCATGAAGCTAACGTTAGCTCACTGGTGACACTACTAACCGGTGAGACCGAAGCATTCCTCCTTCCAGTACTTAGACTCGTAGATTCGTGTGCGGATGATTTTCTCCACCAGATACTGCGGGTTAGTCCCGTGTATACTGTTAGCGTCTTTAACGGTTCTGTTTGCCATGATACTACTATTCTGGCATGGAGAAAATGAACAAAAAAAAAGAAAACCTTAGACGCCAAACCGGAAAGAGTAAATATTATTTCCGGTTCGACTTCTTCTTCTTCTTCCTTCCGCTTCTTCTTGTTGGCAAACAGCGAAACGGTGCATTACCGCCGCCAGCTGGTATGGCGTGTGGACAAAAATGACACACACACAAAGAAAAAACGACACTCAATTTCATCCATCCATTCGCTTCCGCTTGTCCTTTTCAGGGTCGCGGGGGGTGCTAGCAACACTGTTGAGGATTTATTCAAAACTGAAAAGACACTGAACCAGAGCTAACGCAGCATCCTGCAGCGACATGCCATCCCATCCGGTTTGCGTTTAGTTGGACCATTATTTATTTTTCAACAGGACAATGACCCCAAACACACCTCCACGCTGTGTAAGGGCTATTAGACCAAGAATTAAAGTGATGGAGTGCTGCGCCAGATGGCCTGACCTCCTCAGTCACCTGACCTAAACCCAATCGAGATGTTTTGGGATGAGATGGCAGAGTGAAGGGAAAGGGGCCAACAAGTGCTCAGCATCTCTGTGAACTCCTCCAAGACTGTTGGAAAAAAATTTCAGGTGACTACCTCATGAAGCTCATCCAGACAATTCCAAGAGTGTGTAAAGCAGTAATCAAAGCAAAGGGTAGCTATTTTGAAGACTCTAAATATAGCAAATATAAAATATAAAACATGTTTTGAGTTATTTCACACTTTTTGTTTACTACATAATTCGATACGTATTCATTCACGGTTTTAATACCTTCAGTGAGAATCTACAATGTAAAGACTCACACATTTACTATTATGTCTATGTTATAGCACATAGAGTGAAGCGTCTGTCTCAAAATATTAACTAAACGTTTCTAACTTTTGTTGAAAATGTGATTTATGTAATGCTGACCAGGTTATTTCAAGTATGCGGCTTGTTTTGTGACACTGTTGACCTAATGTGATTAAATTATAAATATGTCGGGTTAAACAGCTGAGAGCACCTTGAGCACAGCATAGAAAAATTTGTGCATTGAAGATGATTCTGAACCATGAAGTGTTCATCAGAACAAGCACTTCTAATTGTACTTTGGTCCTCATTGTCTTTGAAAAGCTAGAGCTGACAAAACAAACCCAGTAAACACGTTTTTATCTGTAGGTTTGGTATAGTAATCTGTCTTAATTACATTTTTATTTTTATGTTTTATTTATTCATTATATGGGGGGAAGTCCTGTCAGCCTTGTGCTCAGAGGACTGCAGTCACCCATCTGTCCTGTTCTAATAAACACCTTCTTTAGATCTGTTCAGTTTTATTCATATGGCACTACTTAACAGTCAACAAATCTTGTCTTAAGTCACTTTATACTGTAAAGTGTTCATTTAGGACAAAGTATACTGCAAATCTACACAATTGTCCGTTTTGCCATTTAGTGAACTTCCGTAAAAAAACAAAACAAAAAACCCAGAAAATGTTCAGGCATGAATTTACCAGGACATTTGAAGAGCAAATGAAGAGCAAAGCAGAAAGTTACAGAAAGTTCATGCCTGGTGTCCTGACGCAACCCCGAAGGGCTGGAGTAATCAGCAGGGGGCAGCATGACGCCAGTGTTGGATCCTCAAGACACGAAAAAGAAAACCGGAAACTACGCATTTTTCGCGCGAAATCTCGTTGCTGTCCTGTATTGTATTTTCAGTAGATTAAATCAGAGAATCGGGCAGATCGGCTTCGCGGTGGGGAGAAGGTTACTTTGTTTTTTGTTGTTGTGATTTTGTCCTCTGTGTGAGCTGAAAGAGACGAAACAGGATGAAATATTTCACTCGAATGAAAATCAGACGAGTATATGAGTGGAGTGGAAGGGCACGAAGCTTCAACAGGAGGCTAAAAACCCACGACTATGAGTGAGTAATTATTTTTCCACCTTAAAAAATGGCTTTTTATGCTCCGTCTTTTCAGTGTGATGGTTAAAAATGTTTCTGTTGGAATAATTAAGGGAGATAAGAGTCCTGCGGATGAATTAAGTAGAATGACAAACTATCAAGCAACAACTATGTGATAATCATTTAAGGCAGTGGTGGGCCGCGTGATTGTGCTCTTTTGTTGTCCCTAGCCCTCGATCCCTGGGGCTGGGGGCAACAATTGTCTGTTTATTTTAAAGAAGGGAAAGTCTAGCGCTCCTTGATCTTATTCTTCACTTTATGTTGTCGGCCTTTGCCTTTGATGTGGTTACAAAAATGTCAAAGTTACCAAAGTCGACACTCATACAAAGTTAACATATAATTTACTGCCATAGTTTGTTTTATTGACTTGTTGCTAGCAGTTTGTCCACAGCATTGAACTCTCCCAGGTACAAAGATGGTAACTGTGTTGTGGACATCACAGCTCTAATCTGGGCTCATGGGTGGAGTCAGTTTTAATGCAGTCTACCATGTTACTGTTTGCCTGGAGGGGGGCACAGTTTTAGTGATGGGTTGATGACGCCTCGTGGAATGTGTGCCACATTGGCTTTACGGTACTGTGTGTTTTTTTACTGTTTGTGGACTTTAAATCCACACCGGTGTCGTGACCAGATGGAAGTACTCTACCCTTCTTTCCATAGAAATCTAGAAGAACTGTTAAAGTGCATTTTCAGAAGTTTGTTAGTTATGTTTTGGTGCTTTGAAATGACCCTCCAAAAGTTGATTCTGTTCATCTGGACGTAGCGTTTTGTTGGAGAAACGTTTCGTCACTCATCCAAGTGACTTCTTCCGTCTCAGCTGACTGCAGGTTTCCCCAATCTTATAAACAGTACATTTGCATAATGACTGAAACCAGCCCATTGAAGGAACAATGGATTGGGAGGTCAGTTCCTTAATCATAATTATGCAAATTCTCATTACCATTGATCAACAACCACTGACCAAAACCCACTGGTCAAAGACCACTGATCAATGGCCATGAGTACCATTCACAGAGAGTTGGGGAATGGCTGCGATCACAGCATTGTAAGATGGTGAAAGATGTAACCTTAGGCCCCCTCCTCGATTCAGAGATGGTCTTTCCCTTTTCACGTAAATGGCCTCCTTGACTCCCTGCTCACACCAGTGTTCCTCCCTGTCCAGGATGTGTACATCCTCATCATTGAAAGAGTGTCCACTAGCCTGTAGGTGTAAATAGACTGCAGAGTCCTGGCCTGACGAGGTAGCTCTTCTGTGTTGTGCCATCCACTTCGCCAGAGGTTGTTTGGTTTCCCTGATGTATAAATCCTGGCAATCCTCCTGGCACTTAACAGCGTACACTATGTTACTCTGTTTGTGTCGGGGACCCGATCCTTGGGGTGGACCAATTTTTGGCGCAATCTTTATAAGATTGGGGAAACCTGCAGTCAGCTGAGACGGAAGAAGTCACTTGGATGAGTGACGAAACGTTTCTCCAACAAAACGCTACGTCCAGATGAACAGAATCAACTTTTGGAGATTTACTTTCCTGGATGACTGAGAATGCATCAAGACGTTTGAAATGACCCGTTTTGAAATTTTAACCCTAAACCAGAAATCAAATATCTGCTAGATGACAAAGGCGTTTTGACACCATTGATCAATCTGGCTGTATTTTGAGATTCCAGTTCTTGCTCCCATAATCGGTAGTTTTTGATTGTTTCTTTTCTCCCGTTTGTTTCAGCTCTTTTGCGATCAGTGTGGAGGGTCTCTCAAAAATCATCATCAACACAGGCCAACACATCCTCATAGAGGGGTATGATGAAGACAACCCATATGTGGCCAAAGTTACCAGGCTGTATGGTGATGGTGAGTCGTATTCACACAAGCTTGGAGCTGGCTCAGCTAACCAAGGACCTGACGTGTACTTTTCTCAACTGATGACAAATAACTTAGGCTCTGATTTGGGACTTAACTCAAGACAGATTTGGTTCTGACCCTCAAGCTGACATGGACGTGTCTCAAGTTTGACAAACAGCTTTTTAAAATTAATTAATTGTTTTTATGAATTGACATCGACTTTGGCAACTTGAGTCCTGAGCTGGACTTGCCTTAAACGATGATACATTATTTTAGACTTGAATAACCCAAGGAGCAATCAGGGCTCGCAAAATCACTAGCCCGACGTCCCGGAGCTAGTGATATCTCCGGTCGGACGACCAAAATCTATCTCAGCCCCGCCCGTCGGGCTATATGATAGCGGGGCTGAGATATTTGTACATTTCTTCAGTTAATTTGTATGAGTGAAACCTATTTTCCTCGGTTTACTTTGCTGCTGTCACATGGCTGTGTATTTGTTGAATACTTTATTGATAATGATTAGGTAAGGAAAATATGTTTCTGCTATTTTGTAAAATTGTTATTAATAAAAAGCTCTGTAAATTGTTTAAGTACTGTTTTATAGTTTTATGTGTTTTTAAATGTCTTTGTGCCTGAATGTGATCTTGCTGATTATGTAGCCCGCCCGTCGGGCTACATGCTACATGATAACCCGACGGGCGGGGCTGAGATAGATTTTGGTCGTCCGACCGGAGATATCGCTAGCTCCGGGACGTCGGGCTAGCAATTTTGCGAGCCCTGAGCAATCAAGTCCAACACAATCAATCATTGAATGTCTCTTGGCTATCTTAAGTCTGAGATCATATTAGTGGACACTTGAAATGGTCTTGTTTCAAATAGTAATGGATTTAGAATAATTTAGAACGCGACTTGACTTTCTTGGACTTCAGTTGGACTAAAACAACTCGAGACTAATCTCAAATGGCCTAACTTGATATTTACTCTGTTCCACTTTGAGACACTGACTTTCTTTGTCTTGTGCCTGTCTCTTCCAGAGAATGGGCAACAGATGAAGGCAGTAGTTCAGTGGTTCATGCGTGTGTCTGAATTGCCTGTCAACAAACTGAAATTGCTTGGCAGAGAGCCTCATCCGCAGGAGATCTTCTACTATGAATGTCGTAATTGTGATAATGAGGTCAACGTCGAGTCCATCCTCAGGCCTGTGAAGGTGAGCTTCATTTAAATCACAAATGCTTTAAAGTCAAATGCGAAAATGTTTATTTTCCTTCCTTTATCTCCAAGGTGAAGCACCTCGACAGCAATGACCCGTTCCCTGACTCCTCTGACAAAGATACCCTGTACGTGAAGTTGTCCTGGGACTCCAAGGTCTTCGGGGTGGTGAACTCGACCGTGATGGAGTCTCCCGCTGAGCCAGCACCTGCTTCTTCACCTCCTTCCTGTCTTAAACCCTCCCTCCCGATATCACCTTCTTGCTCCCAGTCTGCAGCCACCCCCAGAGGACCCTCTCGGCGTGTCCTACCCACACCGGACCACGCCATAATGCAGAAGGCGTCATTAGGGGAAGTTGGCTGCAGCAGTGTAGGTACACCTGCCAATGTCGAGGCTGAGTCACTTCACTCGGCCACTAAACTGTCAGCGTCAAAATGCCTCAGTGCCAAGAGGAGGAATGCCACGGCCAGGACGCCTGGTGTCCGAAAGAGACTGGAGCTTAGCAGTGAGTGTTCGCACAAGGATTTTAAAATGCAACCACTTTGTCGTACCAGAGAACAACAGGGCTTTTTATATATCTCTAATACCAAAAGTCGTGAAGTTTGATTAAAACCAGAATGCAAGAATTTGCAAGTCTGCATAAATCCATTTGTTATTCACAATCGAGCATAGAATACCTGAGAAAATGTACGATTTTAAGAACAAAAAAAGTCAAATTAAGAAGAAAGGTTATTTCTGGATGGCACCAGCACCTGGACCATATTTGTCACTGTGTAGCATACCACCTTCTTCTTCTTTTCTTCTTTTCTTTTTCCAGAAAGGAATTTTCTCGCTTCTTATCTTATATAGGATTCTAGCTCCTCAGCAGAACTGGATCATTGTCATATTTATAGTTTCATGATCCAGTAAATGTTTTCAATTGGCCAATGGCCTGGACCAGGCCAGTTCAGCCCCTGGACCCTTCTACAAAACCAATATGTGTTTGACAGGAGCAAGTTTCTCTAAACCCCGTAGATGCCTTTCAGCATTTTCGGTGCCTTTCCAGGTGTGCAAGTCAGTTCCATAAATACTAATGTACCTTCATATTATCAGAGATTTAGACTCACTGATGGCCCCTCTTCCTTTTTGTCCCGACGATGCAGCATTCTTGTCTCCCAAATTTCTAGTTTCAATTTATTTGACCAAGCAACAGTTTTCAACTTTGTCTCAGTCCATTTTAAATCACCTACGACCCAAAGAAGACGAAGTGTTTCTGGATCATGTTCACGAGGAAGCTTTCTAGAAGCTTCCTAGCCCACGCAATGATTTCCATGACAGATCTGAGTCCTGTGAAGTTTGAAAGCCCACAGATTACAGGAATCCAAGACTGATTTTCGGCCGTGTCCTTGATGATAAGATATTCAAAGTCTTGGCTTTTATGTTGAGAAACGTTTTTCTGAATTTCTTCCACAATTTGTTGACGTATTTGCAGATTTAGTGACAATGCCCATCTTTACGTCTCTGAGCTTTTTAATCCAATCCTGCTGCAGTCGATGTTCATTTTAGATGTATTTAAAAGCACTTTTTTAGCCCTTTGATTTGTTCAATTGTGAATAAAATATTGGTTAGAGATTTGCAATTCATTGCATTTTCTTATTTATTGACATTGTAAACAGAATCCCAAGTTTTGGGGCCAATACCTTACAATATGAAGCGGCTGTTGTGATTTGGCACTATATAAATAAAACTGCATTAAGTGAATAAAACTCTGTTGTCCATCTTTGTCCTGTCAGGTCCAGACAAGTCAGTGACAGGTGAAGAAGTCCTGAGTCAGCTGCTAAATGAAGAGTTGGAATCAAAGGTGACACTGACTCGCAGGCTTCCTCCCTCTGCCGCTCATCCTCTGCCCGTCACCCACAGCCTCACACCCCTGAGGAAGGCCCACAGACCCACCGGTGCTCGGTGTGGTGTCCCCTCATCTGTCTTCCTCAACAAACTCTCTGATTCGGATAGCCCTCTGTCACCAGCCAAGGATGACTCCACAAGGTCAGCGCCGTCTCGCACACAACACACTGAAAGCCAGTCATTTAATTATGTAAATTCAACCGTCACACAGTTTACAATATGCAGTAGAAACTCTAAGTTAGGTTTAGGGATTTTCAAGTTAAGATTGAAAAATTAAGAGATTTTCATTGACACTCACAGCTTCCTACTTTCAGCTTAAGGTCCGTTTAGATTTTGCTTGTTTTAAACTTTTCAAATGCAAAGATAAACCGGCTGAAACCAGAAAGCTTCTATATTTAGTTTTTTTAAATGACTTAAACTCGATGTAAACATACACACTTGTAGTGGAAGGGGTTGTTGTAGCTCAGGAGGTGGAGCCTGATTTTTATACAGGTCAAAACAGGTACAACAGTTCAAAGGAATGTGAGCATAATTAGGTTATTGGTTTAAAACCTGAGATAACTGGTATAAAACCAAGCACACTGGTGCCACTTTCAGTCCTTGGGAGGTGATGAAATGGTGACTGGTTCAACAAAGATCTTGGTTAGGACACAGAGGATAAGCGATGCCACTCCAAGGAGAGTATACAGTGGTGTGAAAAAGCGTTTGCCCCCTTACTGATAGGGATGGGTACCGGTGTCCGGTGCCATGATGGCACCGGTTCTGACATAAACGGTAGTAACCAGACCGAAAAGCAGCGCACATTTCGGTGCTTTATTTCGGTGCTTTTTTTTTCCTGAGCTGTGATACACTTCTAGCCAATCATTTTATGTTTCCGAGGATAGTAGGCGGGCCCAGGTACGTACGTTCTGTTAGAGCAGAGCTACAGATTAAAAATGTCCAAGGTGAAGCGGTCAAAGTCTGGCTGTACTTCACAGCAAAAGTCTGTGCAAACTCAGCAGCCTGCAACAAGTGCTTTAAGCTGATACTGTGATACTGTCAAAGGAGGTAACACCAAGAATCCGATGAAACACCTGGCGACGCATAGCGTTTTTTTTAAAAGCCGAGAAATGCGCCGTATTGGATGGCAGCAGCAGCCGTTCTTCTCTGCGTGAGTAGCTTAATGTTGTTTGTGTGTAATTTACGTTGAGTAGGCTAACCACGTTATTACATTAATGCATATAAGGTGAACTAGCAAACATCATCATAGCTACATGCGGCTGTCTTCTTGTTTGATGGCAGATGCTCCCTTCACCCTGGCCAAAAAGGCTAAAATGACCAAAGAAAAAGAGGGAAACGGCTAAACATGAGAGGTTTAGGACAAAGTTTGTGTTTTTTCCATTGTTTAAGCACTGCTTCCAGCCAAGAGTGATATCATATATGCCCTATAGCTGCAGAAAAGGCTAACATTGTTATCTTTTTACAAAAAACCAGCTGAACATGAGAGGTTTTTGGACCAATTTTGTGTTCTCCATTCTTTAAGCACCGGTTCGAGCACCGTTTCAAAAGTACCGATTTGGCACCGGTATCAGATAAAACCTAAACGATACCCATCCCTACTTACTGATATCCTCTTTTTTATGTTTGTCACACTTTAGTATTTGTTGTTGTTTGATGCTCTGAAACATTTGACAAAGACAACAAACATGCACTTACTAAATAAAGGTGTTTATTATTAAAAGGGGGGGATCCAAACCTACATAGCCCTGTGTGGGGAAAAGTGACCCCCTCCCCTTCTTATGGTGACTCTACCATAAGAAAGAGACTAGGCAAGAAATGGCCGGCATGGCAAGAATATCCTAAAAGTTGGTGCGAAATATTGTGTGGATGAAGAGACAAAAGTTGAACTTTTTGGAAGGTGTGTTTCACATTACATCTCATGATAGTAACAGCATTTCAGAAAAGGAAGATCATACTAACAGCTGGATGTGATGGTGGTAGTGTGATGGTCTGGGGCAGGTCAGGACCTGGAAGACTTGCTGTGGTAAATGAACCATGAATGCTGCTGTCTGCCAAAACACCCTGAAGGACAAAGTCCAGCCATCTGTTTGTGACCTCAAGCTGAAGCACACCTCAGGTCTGCAGCAGGACAATGATCCAAAGTCCACCTTTGAATGGCATGACCTTAAAAGGGTGTTTCATGCTGGAAAACCCTCCAATGTGGCTGAATTATAACAATTTTGCAAAGATGAGTGGGTCAGAATCCTCCACAGTGCTTCACTACCAGTTATCACAAATGCTTAATTGCAGTTGTTGCTGCTAAGGGGGGCCCAACCAGTTATTAGCCATGTAGGTTTGGATAGCTATATTAAAGTGATTAGCCTTTCAGTGTCTAGAGAGATTTTCAAATGTTGTAACAAGTCCTGTGTGTTTTCAAACAGAGCTACAACTGTGTCACAAAAGAAAGAGCTGAAAACCATTAAAGAGCCAGTCCTCAGTGTTCTGTGAGTACACTCATCCATACATTTACCCTTCATAATCTTTCACTCTGCACACAGACAGCACCGCGTGATGCTAACGTGACCTGTTTATCCTTGTTGTTTCAACATGTTTGGTTTGCTACAGTTTGTATCCAGTTCTACTTTCCTCTGAGAAGTATCAACCAGGTTCACCTGACTAACATTCATATTCACATACAAGTCACACACACTGTGCATTTGATATATGCGTTGAATTTAAGATGTGGTTTTCCTTGTGTAGACTAAACCAAAAACTACAGGCTGTTCCTCTTATACCCGTCCATGTGTTGTGTGTGTAGAGCGGAGGTGGAGAATGAAAAGTCTCCAATGGTCACTGAAACACCGAGGAGCTCTAAGAGGAAGTCGGCCATGGTGGTGTCATCACGCATCAAGAAACAGCTGTGAGTGCAAAAGTGGATCCATGGGATCTCTCTTATTTTTACATACAGTGGTGTGAAAGAGTGCATGCATGTGCCTGTTTGTATGTGCAGTTATGCAAAACGACCCTGCAGGCAGTCTTGAAACTTGGATCGTGGCTCAAGAGTTGGCAGTTCGTCTTGTAATCGGAAGGTTGCCGGTTCGAGCCCCGGCTCGGACAGTCTCGGTCGTTGTGTCCTTGGGCAAGACACTTCACCTGCCGCCTACTGGTGGTGGCCAGAGGGGCCGATGGCGCGATATGGCAGCCTCGCTTCTGTCAGTCCTGTAGCTGTGGCTACAACTGTAGCTGCCTCCACCAGTGTATGAATGTGAGAGTGAATGAATAGTGGCATTGTAAAGCGCTTTGAGGGTCTCGAAAAGCGCTATATAAATGCAATCCATTATTATTATTATTATTATTATTATTGTCCTCTGCCAGAGGCCTAAGAGCTTGAGATCCTGTGCAGTACCTTTGCTATTCCTAGGATCACGCTCTTCTGGACAAAGATCTTGGATGTCATTCCTGGAATCTGCTGGAGCCACTTGGCTGGTTTGGGGGAAGCTTCACTGTCCCAAGTGCACCACTTACCACGGGGACCATAGTTGCTTTCTTCCATATCTTCTTTAGCTCCCCTGTTAGCTCTAGGTATTTCTCCAGCTTCTCCTGTTCCTTCTTTCTGATGTTGCTTGGCACAGTTGGATCTATCACCACAGCCTTCTTCCTCTACTTATTCAGCACTAGTATGATCGGTTGGTTAGCCATCACCAGTTTGTCCATCTGTGTCTACAAGACCCACAGGATCTTAGCTCGGTCATTCTCAGCCACCCTAGGGGCATATATTCCAGGCCACACTCGGCACGGCACAGATGTTTCTGTACGCTATGCCGGCGACTTGTTATGGCGTTCCATGTATGCCTTGCCTGCTAGCATCTTGCACCCTGCTGTTATGTGCTGGATTGTCTCTGGGGCATCTTTACACAGCCTGCACCTGGGGTCTTGCCTGGTGTGATAGACCCCAGCCTCTATGGATCTTGTGCTCAGAGCTTGTTCTTGTGCTGCCATGATTAGTGCCTCTGTGCTGTCTTTCAGTCCAGCTTTGTCCAGCCACTGGTAGGATTTCTGGATGTCAGCCACCTCCTCTATTTGCCAGTGGTACATACCGTGCAGGGTCCTGTTCTTTCTCAAGTTTCTGCTGCCTGAGGTATTCATAATGCACACATCATCTTCTTGATGATCACGGATGTTTGTTTCATCCTGGTTGTTGGTTCTGACACCCACTAGTACTCACCCTCGTTCCTTTCACTTAGCACACATTCTCAGGATGCTGGAGTTTGGGTGAAACCCTCCATGGATGACAAGGAGCTTTGTTGTCAGTGGCTTCTGTCTCCTTCTTTTGCCAGCTTATTATCTCAGCAGGATATCTTGTGACTGGCAGGGCATAGATGTTAATTGCCCGGATCTTGTTCTTGGTTGCAGCTTTCCTAGCGGCCCTTTTGTGCTTCCCATTTGCCTGTGGTATTCCAAGGTACTTTTAGCTGTCTGCAATGTTGCCTTCTGGTAGTTCTGACTGCCTTCCCTATCCTTGTTACCATGTGACTACACTCCAGTGTTGTTGGTGTAGTATCCACTGGTGTGGATCGGTTAACTGATGTGTCATTCACTCTTGGCATACAGCTCGGTGTCATCCATGTGGCGGAGGTGCTGACGATTGCTCCATTTCGTAGTCGGTATCCTTAGCTAGTCTTGATTCGGCTGAGGCGGTTCAGGTCTTTGCGAAACGGCAGCAATGACAGAGCATCTCACTGGTAAATCCCACACTTAATGGCAACTTGTGCAACTGGCTTATAGTTTGCCATTGACTTTCTGATGGCGAATTTGTTTGTGTCCGTGTGTGTGCAGCGTGATGGTTAGCACTGTTTCTCCTCACATGCAAGGCCTTGAATAGTCAGGCCCCATCTTATCTTAATGACCATAAAGTACCATATCAGCCCATTAGAGCACTTCTCTCTTGGACTTCAGGCTTACTTGGGGTTCCTAGGATATTTAAAGGTAGAAGAGCATTAGGCTGTATAAATAAGGATGATCTGATATCGTCGTGTGGGTGTTGTTCCTGGAACAACATTGCAAGTGACCAATCACATTGTTGTGGCGTTATTCTTCGGCGCGCCAAGCCATTCGTGCATTTATGAAATTCCAATGTTCCAAGGACAATATCAATTCTGCTTAGCGTTTATTAAAGGGTCAGGGTCAGGATCCGTTGATCGGCGGACAGAGGCGGTTTCTCGCAGTACAGTTTTTTGTTTTACGGCGGTTTTTCCCGAAGTCGCAAAAGTATGACGTCACAACGTTCTGATTGGTCACTTGCTATGTTGATCTGGGAACAACACCAACACGACGATATCAGATCATGCGTATAAATAAACCTGAATTGAATGGAAAGTTGAACGTTCTGAGTTTGACTCAACCAACTAGTCGAGGCCTTTCTGTGTGGAGTTTGCATGTTCTCTCCAGGTACACCGGCTTCCTCTGAAGTTAATTACATCTAAATTATGCATAAGTGTGAATGTGAAAGTGAAGGATTGTCTTTGTGCATCAGGCTGCCGACCTGTGCAGGGTGTACCCCACCTCTTGTCCAGTGATTGCTACATCATAAAGTCACGCATGAATATGTGGAGCAAAATTAAGTATAATTAGTGAGCGTTGTTTGAAACCACACAGTGTGCATAATTTATTTATAAGGGCCAGTAAGCTTCCAGGCCTTAAAACATTTCAAGCAATAAGAAATACCTGGATTAAAGGTGTGAGGGCACCATTACTGCTGCTTGAAGCTTGAATTAACACGATTTGTTTCAAATGATCATTTTATCGTTCACACCCTTTCTGTTGTTTTATTTTTTTAACTTGTGTCAGTCTTATGTAGTCTGTGTTTTGGCTTCGTAGCACCACCAGAATCAAACATTAACAAAGTGAAAAAGGACTCGTAAATCTTAAGGGTGTCTGTTATGTGTTCCATCAGGAATCTTCTGGAAAACGATCAGGACCTAAACTCATCCGGAGAGGAAGAGGATGAGTTTGTTCCATCTAAGAATGACTTGCTGAGCAGCAGCGAAGAGGAGGGTCAAGATGAGGATGGGCCGAATATTGATGATCAAGTGTCAGCGAAGAAGTTCCGATATGTTGCAACGGGTTCTGGCAATTCTCGTTCAAAAAGGAAATCTTACTCCTCAGCGAGAACACAACGAAGAACTCCCGCAAAGAAGGTGATGAAGACCAGACGCACACTGATATTCAGACATGAGATCACCACTTTCTCACCGTCTCTCTCCTATTTCTACAGATCTCGCCGGGAACGCCCAAAACCCCCCGTCACGCCACGCCCAGCATCCCCATCAGGTCCCTGCAGACCCAACAGCCGGCTAACATCCTGGAGGAAGCCAGAGCCAGGTGAGCTCACGGTAGACACAAGTGAAAGGACTCAGAAAACTAAACTTTCTTTGTTGCGGTGCAGACACATCGGATGGTGAGCATGACGCTTCATGCGTATCCATGTTGTATGATAAAGATACAGCCGTGGACCTTTTTTCTTTTCTTCTTTTCTTTGAACCGCAACCACAGTGCAGCAACAATGCATGCACCCGTCAGGTGGACTTTGAGTGTCCTTGAAAGTCAAACAGGAACAACTGTGTTATTGTGTCTGCAGCTGACCTTTTAGTCGCATATGTGTGAAAGAGGGCTGTAGTAAAGCACGTTGCAGTCACGAAGTAGAAGATGGAGAGTTGGTGCAGTAAACGTTTCCTTGCGGATCGACTGAAATTGAAACTGTTGTATTATAATGAGTTCTTCCTCTTTTATCAGGCTGCATGTGTCATCGGTGCCAGAGTCTCTGCCCTGCAGGGAGCAGGAGTTTCAGGACATCTACAGCTTTGTGGAAAGCAAGATCATTGACAACACAGGAGGGTGAGAGAAAGCTTTTAGCAGTCTTACTGGAGTCGCATCTGCACACTTCAGGGTCTACGTGTCTCGAGGCTGTTGTTTTTTTTGTTTGTTTGTTTGTTTTGTCTTTTTTTGAAAAACTGTGGGATTTTGTTTTATTACAGGTGCATGTACATCTCTGGTGTGCCAGGAACTGGAAAGACAGCGACAGTTCATGAGGTGATTCGCTGTCTGCAGCACGCAGCTGACATGGACGAAATCCCTTCATTCCACTTCATCGAGATCAATGGGATGAAAATGACAGACCCACACCAGGCCTACGTCCAAATCCTACAGGTGGGAATGAAGCTTTTTCACAGCCGCTGCAGGCTTTAGTCAAGTAATAATCATTTTGCTTTATCACTTCACCAACTTACTCTTCAGAGCGTGTGTGTGTGTGTGTGTGTGTGTGTGTGTGTACAGTGCTATCTATCCCTATGTGCTTTTATCCAACATTCACAGACTTGTGATTAATGCATGGGGGCAGCTCGGGGTTCATTGTGCTGGCCAATGACACATGGGCTATCTGCTGACCTGCCGTAGTAACGTCTCATTTATTTATCTCATCCCTGCAGAAACTGACTGGTCAGAAAGCCACACCTGACCACGCAGCAGTTCTGCTGGAAAAGAGATTCAGCAACCTAGCGCCCAGGAAGGAGACTATTGTGATGCTCGTGGATGAAGTAAGAACAATTTTATTTATTTTTTTTTTTTCTTTTAAAGAGGAAATTTTTTCCGCTTATCCTTATCATAGTCATGGGGGCCCGGAGCTTATCCCAGCTACAATAGAGCAAAAGGCAGGGGACACCCTCAGTATATCAACAGTGTGCCACAGTGCTAACACAGAGATAACTATGTGCACGTACATTGACAAATATGGGCAATTTAGAGTCACCAATTAACCCAACCCTAGTAACCGCATGTCTGTGGACTGTGGAGGAAGCCGGAGTACTCGGAGAGAACCCACAGAGACACATGAGGAACATGCAAACTCCACACAGAAAGTCGACTCAGGACCTTCTCCCTGTGAGGTGCTAACAGTGCTAACCACCATGCCACCGTGCGGCGTGAGAACAAGTTCAGCATTCTTAAATTATATTCTGTGAGCAAAGCCCCTGACTTCACATTCCCTTGTTCACCATTTATCACAAGGTAACTGGTATTCTGCCTAATAGTCCAAGAAATGTAGGTTGCTCTCAGGAGCTATGAATTTCATACTGTGATACGATGCCATCTGCACATCAAGTACAGTCGTGAAGTTTCCTTGATATTAAATATTCCACAATCAGCTGTTTGTGGTGTTATTACAACTCAGGCACAAAGTGGAAAGCCACATAAAATCACTAAGTAGGGTCAGCGAAGGCTGAGTTGCGTGGTGTCCAGAGGTCAGCAACGCTCTGTAGAGTCAGTCGCTATAGACCTCTAAACTCAGATTAGCTCGAGAACTGTGTGTAGACAGCTTTCCATTGAAACCCATGCAGCTGCATACAATCGTTAAATCATGAAGCACACTGCAAAGCAATGAACGCAGAGGTGTAAAGCATGTCAGCACTGGACTGTAGAGCAGAGAAGACGTGTTTCCTGGAGGAACAAATCATGCATGTTTGTAGTTCCAGAGAAAGGAACTCTTAATGCTTCAGCAGAACGAGACATTTTGATCGATTTCATGCTCCCAACTACGTTGGAACAGTTTGGGGGTGGCTCCTTCCTGCACACCACTGCACAAAGCAAGATCTATAAAGACCTGCATGAGCAGGTTTGGTGCGGTAGAACTGGACTGGCCTACACAGAGTCTCCACTCAGCTATATAGAACATCTTTGGGATAAAACAGACCCGAGTCTATAAACCGGACTTTGTCGTCCAACCACAATGTCTGACCCATATTTGGAAATATAGTCTATTTAGTTTTAACAAGTTCATGTCTGGTTGGGATATGTTCATCACAGAGGCCGATATTACTCTAATTAGTAATATAAATCATACTGGATAACCGTTTGTTCTGTCTCTGTGTTAGCCCTGTGTTAGGTTGGTGACCTATCCAGGGTGTTCCCCGCCTCTCACCCTATGATAGCTGGGATAGGCTTCAGCCCCCTCCCACCCGTAACCCTTTCCCCTGTAAGGATGAGCGGGAAGAGGATGGATGGATAATTTTTGCTAAACATGTTGCAGAACCCCAGGTTTCTCAGGAAATGGTGCCTGCTCACACCATGTATAGAGCCTGTGTGCTTGTCTGTCACTTTTAACTAAGAATTGTGATAGCAGAATAACCATCCTGTACTATATTTTTTGTTTCGGCCCGCTTTAGTTAGACCTGCTGTGGACGAGGAAGCAGAACGTGATGTACAACCTGTTCGATTGGCCCACACGGCGTCATGCTCGCCTGGTGGTGCTGACCATCGCCAACACAATGGATCTGCCCGAGAGAATCATGATCAACAGAGTGGCCAGTAGACTGGTGAGACTGATTAAACACTGCTATTCTTTACATTCCCTGAAAGCAATACTATGAATGATGGTTTAAAGGTCACTGCTGTGTGGTAAAAAGATTTGAGCATGAAGCCAAAGCCGCAATTTACCGGCTGATTTATGTTCCTGCCCTCACATGGACACAAGCTGAAGCTGTGACAAAGTAGTAGCAACAGAAATGCACTTGTGTAATTCTCATTCAAGACTGTGTTAAACAATTTGACATCACTTTACTTCCTGTCTTTTCGAGATCATTTCTTCTCCTACTTATTTTGCTTTTCAGCCCTTTGAATATCTGAATATTAATACAACAACTAAATATCTCATTCAGATGACTTGTAAGAAAAAAACATAAACTAAAAGCCACTGATCATTTGCATTGCTGCTTCCAGGGTTTGACCAGGATGTCATTCCAGCCGTACAGCTTCAAGCAGTTGCAGGAGATCATCATGTCCAGGCTGAACAAGTTGAAGGCCTTTGAGGAGGACGCTCTGCAGTTGGTGTCCAGGAAGGTTGGCAACCAGATTGTCTTTAATGCAGTCTCACCCGCTCTGTTGTGTACTCACCTGCCCACCGTCAAGTCACGTCCGTGTCCCTCATATCTGGCAGGTGGCCGCTCTGTCCGGTGATGCTCGCCGATGTTTGGACATCTGTCGGCGGGCAACGGAGATCTGTGAGCACTCAGCTGCTGACCCTTCCTCCACAGGATTGGTGGGAATGAGTCACGTGATGGAAGCACTGAATGAGATGTTTTCCTCTGCCTACATCACTGCCATCAGGTGAGACCAAACCTTTGGTCACTTTAGTAATGCACGCTGTAGAGATGTGCATTGGCAGCTGTGAGGAGAAGTGACTGATGTGGTTTGTTTTTTTTCAGGTGTGCGTCAACACAGGAGCAGCTCTTCCTCAGAGCTGCTATTGCAGAGTTTAGGCGGCTGGGATTGGAAGAGGCGACTTTCCAACAGGTGAGAAATATAAAACAACTAAAGTTACTAAAACAAAACCAACAAGCCTCTATAGACTGTATATGAAACGAATCCATAAGTTGATTTACTTTTTTAAAGGCTTCAATAAATACACATTTAAAGAATAAAACACAGACCTTAAATCTAACATGAATACAGATATTCATTCATAATCTAGAAATCATGTTTGGCTGGATGTTCTGTGAGGAATTAGATGAGCTCAGAAACACAGGCCTACATTTTTCTTTAGATTACAGTCTGTACTGTCTATCTCTGTGCAGTCTATCACAGTACATCACACATGTACAAAACTCATCTGTTATGATGATAAATCACTGGGCTTTCAGCTTACCCAGCTCCAGTCGTCGTTAACTGGAGGTGAATGAGAGAGATCTCTGCAGTGTCCTAAAGAATGAAATGCGTGTCGATTTCAGTGACAATGGCAGTGATGCTTGCATAATATCCAGAGGATGTTGCATTGGAATAACTTCCTTCATCATCCAGGAACTTCCTGTATATTCTCTCTAAATAAGCCTTGGTACTGCCTCATTTTAGAGTCTGACAATGGGTCCAATGATTTCATCCCAAATCCTAGTGGCCCTCAGGGCTGTTGCCTATCCTGTAGCGGTCTGTGCATCCCTTCATGCCTGTGTTTTACCAGACCATCACTGGTCCACCTCAGCATGACCCATCAGTCATGCTGAACGATGTAACAGGCAGCATAATTTTCTGTACAGATTCTCCAGTCTTTTTATGTTTGTCACATGTGTTTAGAATGAGCCTGCTGTATTCTGTAAAAAGCATCAATGTACCTGCCAGTTCTGGTTCTCTATGGCAAAGGCCAGTCTTGCTCCATGGCAGTGAGCATAGGGACCACTAGAGGGTGTCATGCAACCAGTAGTACGCTGGTCAGAAAAGATGAGGAGGGAAAAATTTCAGTTTCCGCTTCCTGCAAAACCATCCCTGTGTTGGGGTTTCTCATTGTTACCCTTCTAGTGCACTTGTTAATTTAATTTAAACCTGCTGAAATGAATTAATCCTCTCAGCTACTTAACTAACCTGATATCCTCTTAATTAGGGTTATATTAGCACAGAAATCGTTAAAAGTAGGACCTTTTTTAAAATGGGGATTTAAAACTTGTAATAGGCAGCTTTAGCTCTCTTTGCCTGTTTGCCAATTCCATGAATGTTTCAACTTATAAACCTTTTTTCCCTCAAACAAAATGTGTGATGATTGACAGATAACACAACAAACATCAATAGTTAACTCGGTTACTACAATAATTGCAGCCCAAATTTTCTACAGTTATAAGCTTAAAAGGCTACACATAAAGATAACAATTGTAGCTGATTGTGTCATTTTAACACAGTCCACTTTCACATTGCACTGTGGAATTGGAGTGCTGTGTCTCAACTTGAAATGCAACATCAGGTCCCCTTGTGTTTTGTATGCCAGGTGTTCGTGCAGCACCAAGCTCTCTGTCGGATTGAAGGTCTTCGGCCCATCGGTGTCTCGGAGGGTCTGGCTGTTTGTCAGCGTCTGGGAGCCTGCAGGCTGCTGCTGCTGGAACCGAGTCACCTGGGAGTCCTGCAGCACATCCGACTCAACGTCAGCCAGGATGACATCTTTTATGCCTTGAAAGCTGACTGAAGGGGGGAGTCTTTCACACAAACTGAACAATGACAGATGACAGTGAACCCTCGTCCACGGATTTTAGTTATGAGCTTAAATCTTTGTCCCCAATTTTACTGGAAGATTTTCTTCTGTCTTTGGATTTTATTTTTTATGTTTGTCTTAAATGTACAATAAAATTCTACTAATCCCTCAGTTGCTTTCTTGGAGTAATATTAAAACCTCTTTGATTATAGTTTCTTTAGAGTTTTAGCTGCACTTTAGGGATCAGGAACACTCAAGCTGTAAAGAAACTTAAAGACGCTTCTCTGCTAGCAGAGTTTGATGAGAGTTTAATATGGAAAACGCATCACCATCATGACTGTGGACCATGTTGCAGATTCACTGAAGCACAACTCTTTTCTCTATGAACCAAGGAATACTTTTTTTGGTAATCATTATGTAGCATATCCACATTTTGTACATTACACAAGTTGTTCATTAACACAAACCCATGTTTGTTTAATGGCAATAATCTGCAGCTACAAACAAATGAATTTAAGTGTTGTGCTTCTGCTGTAGGTTTTGTGACCTACATGTTTATTTTTTGTTTTTGACCTATGTGGTATATGTGATTTAAGATATTATGTGGTTTTCGAGAAGAAATAAATCTCATTTGACAAAGGATATTTGGCATGCAGACCACAATAGTCAGGGATCAAGTCATCAACCTTCCAGTTAGTAGATGAACTGCTCTACCCTGAACCAGCAGTATGTACAGACACCATAAAGTGTTTGTACATACTGCCTGATTTCTTCCTGTTAAAGGGGACTTTTTCCTTCCCATTGCAGACAGGGGGTCATATGATTGTTGTGTTTTTTTCTGTGTTATTGTAGGGTCTTTACCTTACATGGTCTGCATTGGTGCATCATATCTTTATTCTCTTCCCCCTCCTGCCCCCCCCCCCTTTCTTAAATAGATAACTATCATATCTGATATCATATCTCACAGTACAATAATATTGAATGGGTTGCATTGTTGTATTTTGTCATGTTTCTCAGGTCTTTGTCTGAATTTCTACGAACATTATTGCTAAGGATTGTCTTATTGCATTGGAGTCACACTGGGTTAAATATGTACACTTGGGTTTTAAGGGGTATTTATTATTTTCTTCTTTTTTTGGGGTTGTATGGAAGCCCCAAACGCAATTTCATTGTTCTTGACAATGACAATAAATAAATAAATACTAAATACTAAAATACAAGATAAAGAGCTTTGAGGCAACTGTTGTTGTGATTTGATGTTATATTAATAAATTTTAATTTAATTAATGGTTGTTTGAGGAAGCTTATGAGCAGTTTGAGGAAAAAGTGGTACAGGAAGAGGCAGGAAACTAAAAATGTTTATTTATTTTTGTTCATTTAGGTATGGATAGTGTAAATTTGAAAAAAGACAAATGGTTTGCCCCCAAAAGTTTCTGTTCATCTGGACGAAACGCTTCATCACTCACCGAAGTGACGTCTTCAGTCTTAGCTTAATGCAGGTTTCCCCAACATAACAAATAGTACATTTGCATAATGACTGAAACTAGCACTGCTGGCCAGTGTTTGTGCTCTTGGAATACAAGGGTCAGTAATACAGGCATAATCATAGGTGTACCGTGGCTTAAAAGTTCCTTTTTTCTAAATTAAAGAAATATTTTATGCACTTTCTTCTTAGATCTAACAAATGCACCTCTCGCTTTATTCTCATATTTTGTCCTGATCCAACTGTGAGTATTCCTCAGATTCTTGGTCCGCCAAATTACATTTTGGAGATCATCTCATTATTTTGGCTATTATTTTTGATTTCTCTTTAGAGCAACCCTTTTCCATATTCATATGGCCAAATCTATGATGTCTGGGGCCTGGATCTCTTCCATGCCTGCTTCATGCCCTGGAGGACGGGGCTATGGTTCCCACACCCTCTAGCAGATCGTTACATGGAGAACACACACAGGTGTGCACACTATATTTTTTTTGGCTCCAACCTCAAAGCACATTGTGTGCTGCAGAATGACATTCAATATTTAGTATTTACTGTTACTTATAATTATCTAAGTTATTGCTGCAGTGATGTGTTTCTTGTGTTGCTCTCCTTTTGCTTGTTTTCTCTATTTTTTCTTCTAACAGGTCATCCAGCTGATTTGTGTGTCTTCTCTCACTGTGCCTCTCTACCTCTGGTTTTCTTTCCCTACCTTTCATTCTCCCTTCCTGGCCCCCAGTTAAGGCAAAAATAAATTATTTATTCTCAATGATCCCAACTAAACCGCCACAAGATTGGTTCAGATCTCTAGATTCATGTATGTCCAAATTCCTTTGGAAAAATAAACCCCCACGTATAAGCTTAAAAACACTACAAAAGACCAAGGATAAAGGAGGACTAGAACTGCCTAACTTTCAGCACTACTTCTTAGCCAACAGGCTTCAGTTTATCTCAGGATGGCTAAAACACACCCTCTTAGATGAACCTTGGCTAGATGTAGAACAAGCACTCTGCAATAATCTAGAGATCTCAGACCTACCATTTATCAGCTCAAACATCCAAAATAACAAATAGTTTTTAAAAAACCAGAAGTAACCCTGAAACATAGAATCAAACATGCAAACTTGACACAAATTCAGAAATGTTATGGCCCGTCTAGGCGCGGCCAGACCACAACATAAAGGGTGATCCATCCCCGTCCAACCCCAAGCAGCACGTCACACACTTAATATTTTGTGACAGTGATTTATTTACAATAAGTGCAGTTAAACAAAGGAAGGGAGCATATCATAACTTCAGGGTGAACCCAAGGCCAAAACAACAAACAAAAAGTAACCTATCTTAGGAATAAACACAACTTACCTACTCAAAAGAACTAAACCAAACGACAATCACTTTCCTCCCTGCCTAACAAAAACAGGAGAAAACTGATCAACCAAAAAGGTGGTCCACCCCTACATGCTCTTACATTAACATAATATTTTTGACACAGTGAACGGTCTGCCGGTTGGGTTGGGCCATGGATGAATGAATTGGCAGTCCCTGGTGGTCTCTTCTTATCCGCTGCCTCCCAGTCCTCAGCCAATCGGTGTGAGCCATCCACCTTGGATGCACCAATCCCGGAGGAGCACCTGGACACTCAAATTTACACATGATTACGATCACAGTCGTAACAGAAAGGTAAACAAGACAGAGTTGACACACGAGGACAAAACACTGAGATGAAACTAGGATGGAAAGACACGAAAGGTGAGTGAGATCGTCTGAAAAAGAAGTAAGAACTAGAAGCAAAGGAAACAAAACTCAAAAGCAGTGGGAAATAAAATAAACTAAAGACCAAAACCAAACGGGAACTAGAATGTAATAGCACTTGAAGTCCAAAAGAAACCAAAAAGACAGAAAACTCAAAACTCTGGATTAAAGACCAAGGACCATGACTGTCAATATATTTAAGGTCAATAGTTTTACACATTATGAAGCAGAAACTTATCTCCATATTACACAATATAGTTCAATTAAAAGCATTTCATAAAGTTTAAAGAGTTGGCAACAGAACATAACATCACTGCGAAGGTTTCTTTTTTTTTTTCTTTTTTTTTATTGTTTATTTTATTTTCACTTACTGAATACGGGACAGACTTGACTGGGGTAAAGAAGGGGAGAAAAAGAGGGAAAGAGAAACAGCTGAGAAGAGGGACGGGGGGGAAGGGCAAAAAACAAACACCAACAGAATGAGCAAAAAAAAAAAAGAAAAAAAAGAAAAAAAAATGCATATATCAATCACCTGGATCACCTGCTGAAAAAAAAAAGAAAACAAGCAGAAGAGAACAAGAGTAATAGAATAAACAACATCACAATGATATATGGGAATATGACAGTAAATACTAAATATTAAACATTATTGTGCAGCACATAAGATCAACAGAACACAGTGTGCTTTGAGGTAGGAGCCAAAAAGGGTGTAGTTTGTGGGTGTGATCACCCGTGTGTACACCTGTGAGCATGGACGCGCTTGTTTTTTTTTAAAAAGGTTCCTTCATGTAATGATCTGCTAGAGGGTGTTGGGGGGGGGGGGGGGGGGGGGCACTGGCAATATGAGCGCCTACAAAGCGGCCTCATACGGCGTGCAGCGCGCGGTGAGAGATGCCAAACGCCGGTACCGGGAACGTGTGGAGTCCCACTTCCACCAGGGCGACACACGGAGTTTGTGGCACGGACTACGCACCATTACGGACTACAAAGCCAGGGACACTGCGCTGATCAACGCTGACTCTGCATTCACCAACGAGCTGAATCAGTTCTACGCCCGTTTCGAGGTTAGCCAGGCGGCTAATGCTATCTACCGCCTGACTACCGAGGACAGTGACGTCATCAGCGAGAGACCGGTGACCAGCATCGCGGAGCATGACGTCCGAGCGGCACTGAGGAGAGTGAACACAAGGAAAGCGGCGGGGCCAGACGGCATCACCGGCCGTCTGCTGCGCTGCTGTGCTGACCAGCTAGCAGGTGTGTTCACTTACATCTTCAACGAGTCCCTGGCGAAGTCTGTGGTCCCCACATGCTTCAAAAGATCCACCATCATCCCTGTGCCCAAGAACAGCAAACCCTCATCCCTGAACGATTACCGGCCAGTTGCACTGACCTCGGTAGTAATGAAGGTGTTTGAGAGGCTGCTGAAGAACATCATCTCCTCCTCCATCCCAGACACCACAGATCCGCTGCAGTTCGCCTACAGATCCAACAGATCCACAGAGGATGCCATCGCCCACGTCCTACACACCACTCTCAGCCACGTGGACAAGAAACAGGGTAACTATGTGCGAATGCTGTTTGTTGATTACAGCTCAGCGTTTAACACAATAGTGCCCTGCAGACTGTTCACAAAGCTGAGGGATCTGGGACTTAACAGCCGTCTGTGTGCATGGGTGTTGGACTTCCTCACTGGCAGAACTCAGGTGGTGAGGGTGGGCAGGTGCTTCTCCAACAGCATCACCATCAACACAGGAGCACCTCAGGGATGTGTCCTCTCGCCACTGCTCTACTCCCTCTACACTTCAGACTGTGTGGCCATCCATGGCTCCAACACCATTGTGAAGTTTGCTGACGACACAGTGGTGTTGGGTGCCATCTCCAACAACGATGAGGCGGCCTACATGGACGAAGTGAAGAATCTGGCATCGTGGTGCCAGGA